GGGGGGGCAAGGTGATTCGCCTGGCGGATCGAATCTTGCATCTAGGCAACACCTGCGTCGATCACGGACATTTTCGATCACTGAAATCCCTGCAAACTTACTGGTAACTGCCTTTGGTGAGTAATTTTTGTTGTAAAATTGTTTTTTTCGTGATCACTAGACTGCAGATTTTTATGGAAAATCACATTTTAGAAGGTTATTTATAAAGACAAAAATGAAAGTAGAAATTTCTTTCTTCCTTTAAGTATCTTATTGGGCTCAAAAGAAAATAGGAAACTCGTTGCATCTGACGACAATTTTGTCCTTTATTGTATTTCACAGAGACCTTTATAAATGTATAAAATCCGCAGTCTAGTGATGCCGTTTGTAGATCCGTTGAGTCTTTCTTCGAAGGTACCGTAAGGATAACTTGGACGTAGTCAGGGGTAAAGGGTCTTAAGGCAGGATAAGGGGGTCAAAAATGCCCCTAGACCCTTTTTGGACTTCTGATATACCATTCGATAGCTTGTCAAGAAAAAACAGTCTGTGCCAAGTTTCCACCCTCTATCTCATTTAGGAGGGTAGGGGAAATACTTAGAATAGGATAATTTGTTTTAAATTTTGTAATCTTCAATAGGGGTTTTTGATAGATCGTTATGAATTGAGTATGAACCCGCTAACAGTTTTTTCCTCGCACGTACAGCATTGACGTAACTAGAATTTCTTTCTTGGGGGGGGGGGGCAGGTTGCCTGACTTTCGCCCATACACTCCCCATCAGGCATCTGTAAGTAATTTATACCACGTGTGTGGGTTGCACAAAATAAAGTTACACATTTTACAATAATTATTTACAAATTTGTTTAACACTAAAACTAAGAATAGATGGATATAAATATAATTTTTAAAATTAAAAGAAATTTGGGAGTATATTATGTGCAGATACTTATAATTAAAATCTATCATATATAAGCTTTAATTTGCTGTTTTCTTTCTGCAAAAATATTTTTCACAATCTCGAGCGCTTGTTCCCTTAATTGGATCCGATCCTTCAATTGATGTTGCAGGATTATTAGTTAAATAGAATGTAAAAATTAAACAAAAATTAATCAGCCTAATTCTAATACAATTTTATTGAATACTTTAACGTAATGAGGATAGTATTGTATTTTTCGTACTTAGTTGCGTTGCGTATTGCATTTCGAGCCAAGTATTTATTTTTTATAACATAAAATTTTACCAACTGACGACTGTTTTTTTTGCATACTTCAATAATTTCTGGTCTAGGGGTGGGGGGGGGGGCAGGCCTACCATAGTTACGCCAATGACGTAGTTTTTTCAAAAAAATTCCCAAAGATCACCTTTCAAAGACCAGATTCCCAAAGTTTCGAAGCCCTTTTTGGACAAGACTTTCACTTGCGACCTCTCAGAGGGTCACAGTTCACGTTAATTTAAAAAAAAAAAAATTATATTAATACGGTCTGTTTGTTTTGTTTTGTAAAATCCCTTGCGACCTCTCGGAGCTATTCTTGCGACCCCCCAGGGGGTCGTCCACCACCTTCCGTGAACTAATAAGTTACTTTTCGTGAACTATCTTTCTTCCTTTTGTTTCATTTACTCACACTGTCGATAATTTTTAAAGCGTGTCAGAGGGAATAACTTGCGTATGAAAAACCAAGGACGGTTTTTTTCTTCGACCGTGTTAAAAATCGTGTAATAAAAGAGGTGTACATATGTATGACCGATGTTACAAAATGGTGACGTCAGTTTTGACAACCTGCAATATTTTCCGCGACACGTATTGTATGTGTGTACATATGTGCATATATGTACGCAATCGTAAAATGTCAGAAGGCAAGGATAACGCGCAACGTGCGAAGATAAATAAAACGTCCTGTCAGCAAGCTTCTACTGCAGCCTGACTGGCGTTTCCAGTTTCGCGATAAAGCACGTATTCGAACGTATTCCCGATACTAATAATTCTGAAACCAGAGACAACGATCACGGGTAATTTTATAGATCGATCGGTTTAATATCCACGGAATTACCATCAATGTCAAACGCTTATTTGCGGTTAGTTCATGTGGTATCGTTCTTGTGATTTCCAATATATAAAGCATCGACAATTATCTATGGATAATAAATTATTAATATTTTTCTTTCAATTTCTTTACTGTTACAAAAGACTTGTTGTCCTATAAATCACATCCTCTTCAATTTATAGTATTTCCATCAGTTTGGTGTGCGTCTGCAAAATTTTGGAATTTTTTTTTAGTGTTTAATTGTACAAATATTGTGAATATGCATGTATTATTGTATTCTTCCAGTAGACTTTTCAAAGTCAGACAAATTTTTCAAGTCAACAAAATTTATCTGAGACATTTTCATCAATTTCATTGTTCGACTGCAAGATTTTGGAATGTATTTTTATCATCTAATTCTTTAAATCTTCCGACTCTGCACGTGTCATTATATGTATTTTTCTAGAAATCTGTAGAAAATTATATAAATTTGTAAAGTCAACAGAATTTATCTTGACACTATCCATTAATTTTGTCGTATATCTGCAAGATTATGTAATCAGTCTTTATCATTATATTCTTCTACTAGTTTTTTCAAAATCACACAAATTTTTACGGTCAACAAAATTTACGTTAAAATGTAAAACCAAAATTGTGTGCCATGTATTTCCACAAATTTTCTCATGTTTCATACTGAATACAATATAATAATAGAAGTTTCGAAGGAATATGGATAGAAATAGAAAGGACGTATGATCTTCCAGGAAACAAGATTGTACATACAACTGCGACATGGATAATGTATAATTAAAGTCGAAAGAAAATTATAACTTCCAGTCGGTAAACGATGATCCCTCGTTCATTCACTCTCTTCGATACGCAAAATTGCGTCCTGCGTGCTTGTATCGTTATTGGATATTACAGTGGACACGGAAACATGCCGGGGAAAGTGCATGTTTCTCGTTACGCATATTACCTTGTTCTGTGAGACCTTATTTACTTGCTCGTTTCATCGACAATACGAGGTTCTTCTTGTCAGAAATTTCTAGAAACCCAATGAAACGCTTAGAGAACGTTGGAAGATTTCGAAAAATAGGTTTCCAGATTATCAGATTATTGTAGATTTCGGAAGATCGATTTTCAGATTCTTAGATTTTTATATTATTGTAGATTTCAAAAGGTCGATTTTCAGATTTATCGAATTTACCGATTTCGAGAGATCGATTCTTAGATTTTTTGATTATACAGATTTCGAAAATTTTTTATTTTTAGATTTTTAGATTACTATAGGTTTCAAAAGAATGATTTTCAAATTTTCAGATTATTGTAGATTTCGAGATTGATTTTCAAATTTTTAGATTATTATCGATTTCGAAGGATCGATTGTGAGATTTTTAGATTTATATAGGTTTCGAAAGATCGACTTTGAGATTTTTAGATTATTATACTATTTAGGTATGTAACATTAATCGGAGAACTGAAAGATGTTTCGGGGCTATCAACACTTGATAAATCAGTTATCTCAGAATCTTTTTAATTAATTATTTACAGTAAGCAATGTCAAAGCAAAGAAACTTCAATCTTCAAGAAGTCATCTTTACTATGTTAAGAATATTACTGTTACGATTAATCAAATCTCTATGAACGACAAATATCATGACAATAATACAGGATGTTACAGAAATACACCAGCAATTCCAATAACTAAAATACATACATCGATTTTATCAAAAATTGAAAAGTTTAATATTGCATTTCGTTGAATAACTAATATCGACGTCGATAGCATGGAAAAAGTTTTCAATCTAGTTCAATCGATGTTTTAGCCATAAATGAAAATGGAGTCACTATCAATAATAAAACTCTCGACTATGGTGACGAAAATTACTTACCAGACATCTGCAAATTTCCTTCTGTCTCAGCCATTTTGTTGCTATTTTTCTTCTTTCGGAGGACAAAATGTTCTCAAGTTCATCCGAAGATAGTTTGGTCGAAAACATTCCATACCACGATGTGCATAATAATTTAATCGGGGGGGGCATCTATTACCTTGTTAGCATGATGGTTATCAGCTCTATTACGGTTCATTCGCACTTCTCGAACGATTGTCTTACGGTTCGAGAAATGCGCTGAATTCGACCGCGTGATGCAAATACCGTGGTCGGCTTATTCAACCCTTTCAATGTTTATGTCGAGTATACTCGTCATGAAAAGATGGAATTTTTTATTTAATGACGAGTATACTCGTCATAACAAGGTGGTATTGTTTTGTTTAATGACGAGTATACTCGTAATGAAAAGATGGCATTTTTTTGTTTAAAGACGAGTATACTCGTCATGAAAAGATGGCATTTTTTTGTTTAATGACGAATATATTCGTCGAAAAATTTGCATTTGCTATTTAAAGTAAAATTTAAGTAAAACGAAAAACATATTCGTAATTTTAACACGTTTTAGAATATTTTTGGACACAAAGAAGAAAACACAAAAAAAAGGAAATCACTGAAAACAGAAATATGTACAGGGCTTTTTGATAAGGCAGTAACTATTTTTTAACAATAGATGGCGGCCATGTCGCAAAAGTATTTCGTCACTTTATTTGAATTTATTTCAATTTTACAGCAAATACATTTACTCTGTTTCTGTCGAATATACTTGTTATTGGTTAAGAATAGTTAAACACATAAATGCACGTTTTCAAAATGAAATAAAACACTCAACGTGTTAAAGGATCTTTCGAAAATGAATAGGGTAAATTCAGGTGAGAGGCCACCCTTTTTCAGTTGAAAGTTAATAACTTATGTGTTTTTGTATTAATTAATTTTTTTATTACAATGATACACTGACACTAAACTTTTGTCTTGCAAAATCAACAAAATTTTTTAAAAATGACAGGTCGGCAATGTGACGTCTATCCTGAATTTACCCTAAGTATAAACATACTGTTCTTTTAATTTTCTATATCGCAATTACATAGACAGTTTTTTTAATTTCTAGGTGAACGATGACTGGGACCACTGGGATCGATAATGTCGCGTACGATGCTCCCGCGCACACAGTAAGTTGATAATATAATTATTGTAACGTAATCAGTTGAATTACACTCTCCAACAAATTCTAACTTTTTTTTTGTCAATTTTTTTAACTTTCAATAGGCAAGTCTGATAGACCGTTGTGAGCTGAATACGAAACTGCAAACCGTACAATTTTGGAAAAAATCAGTTTTTTTTTAAATTGCAAATTTTAATCTTTGAAGTTGTTTTGTGCTTTTAAAGTAATAGTTATTTAAAAAAAGAATTTAAATTACAAATATTCAACTTTAATAGTTACAGTACTAACTATTACTGTAAAACCGCAGAACATCTAGAGTTGAAAATTTGCATTTTTTTTAGATGGATTTTTTCAAAAACTGTATGTTCCAGGAACGAAACCGTTTCCGGATTCGTATTCAGTTCATAAAGATCTGTCAGAAACGCCTACTGAAAGTTGTCAAATTTTTTCCATGTTGAACAGTGTAATTATACCTAACAAATTAGGAGAAAATATTAAAATTATTATTTACTTTAGAGAATTATTTATGTTTCTAATAATACTTTATAGAACTTTCGTAATACGCTATTAATTACATACAGCACATAAGTATAATATACTACGCAGTATTGGAGAATTATATTATTCTACAATAGTGTTAAAACTTGCAATAACAAAAGTACGATTTACAAAAGCTTGTTAATCAAATCTATTTTCATTTGTATCAAAATGAATACGGATGTCAGGACCGCTATTATACTGTATAAGGAGTAAAGTTCGATACCTTCGCCAAGTTGAAATTGGGATAATTGTATTTGGAACAAACGGGGACAATATCGTCGTAGTAATTTAAACGTTCGGATCAGTTGGCCCTTGTTCAGGCCAATCTCTCATCCCTTTATACGCAATCTTTAATTGTTTCGGGTGAAACAATTGGGATACTCTGATGAACAGAGGGTTGATCTTCGACTAATTAAACTGTACAACTGTCGTAGTCCATGGATTCTCTGAGATTTTAAATTACCATACAATGAAATTGCAAATATAAATCGTAGCAGGGAAATATGTATTTTTTTTTTAAGAAAGATACATTATGTATTCAATGTTTTGCATTGGATCAGTTATACCTCAATTTTGAATTTAAATATTTTCCCGCACACACTTGGTACATGCACTTTGGTGAAACAAAAGACGTAATGTTACATTTAAATATTGTAAAAAGACCGTGCAAGAAAATACGTTTCCTATAGTAAAATGGAAGATACGTTGCAAGTTATGAAAAAACTATGTAAAAAAAGTGACGAAAATTTTAATTATATTCTAACTAAAATAAAATTACTATCACATTAATATTGCAAAAAGAAAAAATTAATCATTTTCAATAAAAAATGCTAGAAATAATATAAGTTATTATTACCGCCAAGTGGACCAAAATCGGATGGACCAGAAAAATTAACAAAAAAGGCTGTTTTTTAAACGTATTGTTTAAACAAATGGATTATTCTGGAATCCAATTATATAGTTGAATTCCGTATAAGAAAGACACGATATTGCAATTTATACCGATTTTCTATCCCTAATAGTTTCCGAGATATTCGACAGAATACAGTTCACACCCCTAACTTTGAGGGTTGTTTTCACCTCTTCAACGTGGATAAGAGCAACTAAAAAAAATACGTGTCAAGTATTTTTTTGAGAATTATAATCTCACACAGTTGCATTAAAATCGTCGATTGTCAATTCGGTATGTTCCCTTGTTAGTTTCGACAATCACCCTACTATAAAATCGGTGTGATCGTTAAGATTAATGCAAAATGACGGAACACAGACTCTAAAGTGCTGTTTTATACCGATTTTTAGGCAAACTTGAGCACGGCTGAGTAGAAATTCTTGCGAAGCGAAAGCACTGCCGGGGATAGATAAAACACTCTAAGATATTGCAGTTGTTTATTCCTTGCGGGATAGTAAGAAAGGACGCGGCAATGCTTCGCTGGTAAAACTCCTGGCTTATCAGTCCCGAGATTAAAATGAACCTCGGGCTAAAAAAAAAAGAAAAAAAAAGAAAGAATCTACGAGAAGTTCCTCGGAGAGCCAACTAAGCGGTCTTTCAAACTTGCCAACTCCTGTGTATCGTTCTTAGGGCAATCGCCTGAAATTTTCTCGGTGAAATCGTTTCTTAGAGGCATCGTGTACAGTGTATCTTTCATTTATCTAGATCATCGTACAAAAGATACGAAGAAATATTAATATCCATTTAAAGTATGGGGCATTCCAAGCGAAATCGGACACCTTTTGGAGTAATATTTCGGGTTTTGTTGAAACTCGGATATGTTCTTGTTTTTAGTGATATATAACCGTATCTCGAAGGATTTTTGAAAATTTAAATAGGGTAAACCATCCGGTAATTGACTGCATACCAGTGAATTAGGCAATAAATGTAAATTATACATTTTTAAATTATTAAATGTTTTTACATTTTAAATTATAAAATGGTTTTAAAGAAATGCAATTTTATAACAGTAGGACCCAATTGAAAATTTTGAAGAAAAATGAGGATGCATATTAACATTAATTCGGTGACTGCATTTATTTACTACTGTATCACTTTGGTGACAATATCTGGAACATTTTTTGCCGATCGGCAGTACGAAACTTCTTTAAATGAGATCCAAACATTAGAACAACAGTGTCGCTATGACCACTAGTTCGTTATTTATCGTTATTAACATGGTTTATAAAATAAATTTTTTTAAGTTTTAAATAATCTTAAAATGACTATTTGTTGTTGACTTTATGAAAAAAAAAACTTATTGGACAAGATACTAAAAAAATACAGAGAATGGGCTAATAATTTCCTTGGATATTTTTATGATCTATTTTGAGGTTAAGAAATTAGGTACACTAAAGTTGTGCTGTTTCAAATATTATTAATACGATTAAATGTAACCATCCTGTACAGTAACGTAACGTGAAAAGAATTTTAAAAAGTCAAAGAAACACGTGGTAACAATTTTTCACCGGTTAAAAGTAGCTTCGAACGAAGGTCAAGTTGAATTCTTGGGCGACGCGCATTCCAGGCCGCCATCTTGGATGCCTCGCACGATGCACGTGCAATGCAAATTCGCCTTGAGCATGCAACGTTTCTGTTTATTTATTTACCAGACCTAAATTCTGGAGATTTCGATTAACAATATTTTAACTCTATGTTGAACGAATTATTTTTTTAAAGAATTTGTTATTTAACTATCGATCGTATCTGTAATTGATGTTAACCCTTTCTTCCTGAGTAGTGCACCAAAAATTAAAACCAAAAAACTAAATACTACTTACACATAGGTACATTTTGTATTCAGGGACGAAAGGGTTAAATATTTCGAATTTGAGAAGGGTTAATAATTCGAGTACTCAAATCAGTCATATGTGTCCCAGTGGTCACGAAAGGGTTAAAATGAGTACGAAAGAAATTCGTCGTGTCTTCGAATTTATAAGATTTCATAAATGAACAAGCAAAGTATGAAGGAATACAGATTTCCACCATTTTGATAAGGCTATTACAGCGTCGTCATTGTAATTAAAATTGCTGTTGGGGGGCCAATATTTCGGTAATAGTTCAATCTCCGTGGTTATGGGGGGCTGCGGTCAACGCAGACAGATTCGATCGGACTGCAATTTCGGGACGCGGTTTCCAGGCGTGGTGCATCAATCGTCGTAAGAAAACACTTTTTTACGCTTTTGTACGACCGATTTTACTCAATCAATCAACAATTTTATTATACTTTTGTATTCCGTTATCGAAATAATTTATTGCATGTGTGTCTATTGCAATATTACATGTTACAGGCACGATTAAATAGGAGGTTTAAGAAGGTACAGTGAAGTTATTAATTTATTTTCAACGCCATGATCACCTATACTGTTAATAGAAATTCTTCTTTCCTCGATGCTTTTGTAAAATGATATGTGAAAATGGGAACTTGCCTGTATGTATTCTAAAAGGGATTTTCCAGATGACTATTACTAGTAGACTGAAATAAGTATAAAAAGACAGTGTACACACAAACATGAAATTCAATTTTCTCAGAAATGAAACCGCATTTTATAGATTCGATTGAATTTTGCGCAACGATTATTACTATCGGTCAATTTCTCGAAGAACTACTTCCTCACCGATTTCGCCGGTAAAAACAGTATTGTCGCCCTTATTAATTTAATATTACTTTTATTTAAATATATAATAATAATAATAATAAAATATTCATTTTTAGTAAAACCATTAATTTTGTAAGGATCATTGTTTCATTTTATGAAAATAAAAAATATTTCTTAATTTTTACTTTCATAAAATGAAACAAAGATCTTTAACAAATCAATGGTTTTATTTAAAATGAACATTTTAGTTCACATATAAGTACGAAACTAACGCATAATGTTATGGTTGATAAATAGCAACTATTAATTACCTACAGGAATTTAATCCACTAATAAAAAACGAGTTGACCAAATAAAATTTTAATAACGTTTCTTTTTCAATAATATTATCGTTTACCTTATGATCTTTTGGTAGCAATCGAAAGTTGAAGCTTTTAATAATGTTCTGTTAAATTTTTGTAACTAAATTTAATAGTTATTCAAACTTTGTGGGAGCCACATTAACACAAAAAAGTGTACATCGTTCTCGAGGCAATTGATTAGTTTCTTACAGCCATCGTGTACAGTAACTCCTCGATGAGTGTTCGAAGGCTCCTTGACACTGACAAGCAGAGGTCCCTAGGTATAACACTAATTTCTTAATGAGGTTTAGCATACTGATAGAGCTTGGAATTCTGAAGCCAATGGAATTTGTTTCAGCCACATATGGCCATTAGTTTAGAAAATATATATTATTCAGTTCCAAGGAGCCTTCGAACACTAATCGAGGATTTCCTGTACAGTGTATCTTTCATTTATCCAGAGCATCGCACAAAATATACAAAACAATATTACTATTAAGCATGTGTAGATCATTCCAAGCGAAATTGGACACCAAAA